GGGTAGGAGGTGGCTATTAAAAATGCTCTCCGGACACGACAAACTTCTCACGCACACTCGCAAATAATTGGTAGTGAGATTTCTTGGTAGGCGATTTTTAAGATAAAATATTTATCTTTTAGAACAACACGGATTAGGATAATTACGTTTATTTCGAAAGCACTCTCGGGATTCTGCAAGGTTTGGTTTTCTCGGTTTTTACATTCGCATCTCAGTTGGGAAATTCGTAACAATACAAAGGTATCGGAAATAAAATTCTAAAGGACAACGAACGCTTTTAATTAACCCCGCCGAAGCACAATTGACATACGAGCAAATCGCAGGGATTGCAGGCTTAGTCAATTTCAGTTTGTTTTGTTTGAGTTAATTATTTTTCTATAAATATAAATCCTATGTGGCTTCAGATTTCTCGCCCTGTGAAGAAAAATCGATGTACCTACTAAGAGAGGTTCGCTAAAAACTAGCCGTCAAACCGTCATCCGGATCTGATACAATTTGAGTTAATTCCGATCTTGGTTTCAACCCTTATAAGCGTTAACCAATAAAATTGACATATGTTCATAATTCCTCCCCTCGCAAACTCATTTTTGCATTAGGTTCATGTTTATCAAGAAGAAAATGGAAATTTATTTCATGCTGTTAGATGAAGTGTAATTATTTGAGCCATACGCCAGTGGAATTAGATCTTTAAAAACAAAAGGCGATGAGGGAATGTTAGGAATAATGTTCATAATCCTAGAAAACCAGAACTAAATCGTTTTCCTAGATCGGAACTACAAATTTCAAATTTAGTTTATAACAGATTTCTGATTATAAGATTTGCAAAAAAGTTTTCTAGTGAAGAGATTAAAAAAATACCATTACCAACAGGAATTTCGAGGAGACCAGAAAACGACTTCTTTATTTGTTTTCTCACATAACACATGGTGGAATGGAATTCTTTAGATATGCTATTTTTCTGATTTTGCAAAAATGTCGAAATTTCTGCTCCAAATGGGACTGTGAAAAAATTCAGTTCTCGACAAAATTTGACAAACACATAACTTGCTACCCCATGCAATTAAAAAAAGTTTCGAGAGGCCAAAAGTTAACACTTCCTAAACCCAACGTCGAGAGGCCTGAGCTACCCACAATATTAGATACAAATAAGCGAATTTTGATCATTTAAACGGTATCCTTATGACGGAATTATAGTTAAAATTTAGAATTGCAATTATTTATTCATGTCACAATGAAAAACTTCCATGTTGACTTTAAATTAATAATTTGGAAGTAGCCCCGATCAACTTCTGAAAATTCCAAAAAAAATAACTACACACATCTAACGATAATTCTTGGTCACGAAAAGTAGAATCTGACATTAAAACTCTAACCTGGACGATGAATTCGAATAAACACAAAATTAACTGGTTTAAAATGACAAAAATTTATTCCGAACCAAATGAAAGAAGCTTGCTTCAACATAATTACCTCGCACGCACGCGGGCAACAATTAAAATGAGAAATCTTAAATCTACTTACAGTTTGTTTCTTAATAATCCAAATAATCTGGCCTACAAGGTTTACGATACTAAGTACACTTAACTTACTTTACTATACAGGGTGATTCCTATAGTACCTGCCACCGTTTGGGAGCGTGTAGGAGGTGCGTAGGGGAGTATTTTGATATAGGACACTTGGGGTCGGAAA